CCCCCCCCCATCTGGGCAGGTGGGCAAAAGTTTTATTACATTTCTGGTGGGCTTAATTCATTTTAATATGTAACAAGTCATGGAGGCCCGCTCAAAAGGCAGAATGTTTCTCCTTCAGCATTCCCAAATATATAGCTTTTCCCCTTAGGTATCCTTTTTGATGCCTGCTCTTTCCACTGTGACCTAAAAATGACTGAGGCTGTGGTCACACCAGGAAAATGCCCCCCTGTTTTCCCACGTCTTTTATCCCTTAGCAGTTCCATGTTGCAGTCATGTGTCATATATCCTGGGGTATGTGTTCTGACATGTTTTTTAATTACCACAGCATTTCCCTGAATTTGATGTGATATGACTGGATATACTTTGGTTCTGGAATATTTCCTTCTGGGTTGTTTTATATCTCTGGGCCCCCTTTTTTCTTTAAAAATAAATAAATTTGGTTACATTGGTGTTTCAGCAACATTTCCTTGATGGGTATGAGTTTCTCTGCTGCGTTTATGCCTTTTGCAGAAGAGAAACTCATAGTCGGGCTTTGTTTTCATTGCAGCCCTACCATGAGGTCCCCAAGAGGAAAATATGAAAGGGCTCAGGGGAAGGGGCACCACCTTGTGGAAGGATCTGGAATATGTAAAGTTTAGAGGCTAATGACATAAATTTTGAAATTCACAAGGAGTAAAGATTTTGCTGGTGTGACTGCAGCCTAAGAGGAGATCAGTCCTTTCCAATTATGTCATGAGACAGAAAACTGTAATTCACACAGCCTAAGAGCACAAGTGTGTTGATTTCCCAAGAGTAATAACCAGTTGGTGGTTCCACCTGTACCTCTACAATGAGATGGAATAAACAAAAATAGGCCATTTAAAAATCTAAAGGTGTCTCAGAAAAATCAGTATAAACAAAATGCTGATGAGACCCTTCTTTCTTTTTTTAAATTGTGTGCTATATCTTCTGTAATACTGGTCTCAATTTATTTATTTTTATCACATTCTTCCTCTTTCCCTTGAGAGACTGTTGAATCCCTTTCTAGCTAGGCACTCTTCACACTTATTATCCTGTCGTTATAATCACTTATCTAACTACATTTCTTCTGAGACAACTTTCCTTTCAACCTATCTTACATTGGGCTGTTCCCTGTTATTTGGTGGAATTCCTCAACATAATATACTTTTACTTATTTACTATTTTGTTCATGTTTTATTCTTCTTCTGGTACAAATAATACAAAACAAGGAAATGAATTGATTGTTGTGGGTTTTTCGAGCTCTTTGGCCGTGTTCTGAAGGTTGTTTTTCCTAATGTTTCGCCGGTCTCTGTGGCTGGCATCTTCAGAGGACAGCACTGGATTATTTAATTGCTCTATGGATTTTTATGTATTCAAGCAGTGCAGCCAGTGTCACCTGGAAGGTCACCTTGAAGTCTAGATTTGGATCCCGAATGATAGCACAATCCTGTTTATTTAGATTATTAGCTTCACTGTGTTTTATGAAGCTCAGTTACATACTGGATAGTAAAGTGATTCCATTTTAAAAAAATTTTATATGTTTTTATCATATACCTTTTCCAAGGAGCTTAGAACAATACGTAACAGTTTCTTTCCTTTGTTCTCACAAAAGCACTAAGAGACACTGGGGGAAAACAAATGCTGGTTATTGTCATGCTTCTTCCCGCCATATGTTATTTTCTTCTCCTTGTGGTTCTTGCTATACCTTATTGCACACCCATTCCATGCTAGTTTTACAGTTCGCTCTTCTTCCCTCGCCCTCCTTCTTTGGTTTTACAACTTTAATCAGAATACACATACCAGAGAAAAATACACATACCAGAGACAGAGCATGATAGGGAACCAAAGGCCAAGACAGAGTATGATACCAAGATAGAGCACAGTAAGACACCAGCACCAAAAAGCACAGTAATTCATCAAGCCACTTCTTGTTAGTTTGAAAGTGGTAAGCTAATCTACAGTTCATTGCAAGACATGCTCATCCTAATTCATTTACATGCAAAACAGAACAGATTCCTGTTTTTAAAATGATTGTTTTCATTTGCTCTTCTAATCAATATTCCCCCGCCCACCGAATACCTACTTGCATGGACCAAAATTCCCCTATCTGTGTAAGTATAAAAGATGAAAGTGCTGTTTTCTTGGGTACAAATAGTTACTGTATTTTTCCATGTATATGATGATACTTTTGTCTTAAATATTTAGATTAAAATTTGATGGTTGTCTTATACAAGGAAGTAAGGAGGGAGAGGAATCAAAGTGCTTTGATCCCTGCTTTGCCCCTCCACTATTTGCAAAGAAATGGAGGGGGAAAACACTTTCCTTGCAAGAAAGGGGAGGGGAAAAGCAGGAATCAAAGTGCTTTGATCCTTGCCTTCCCACTCCACTTTCTTGCAAAGAAAGAAATTTTGGGTTAGAAAAGGGGGGGTGTCTTATACATGGGGTGTCTTATACACGGAAAAATACAGTACTCTGGTTATATTGCAGTTAGAGCACTCTGTCCAGTCTGGGGCACCACAATATATGGACATTCAGACACTGAAACAGGCCCAAAATCCAGAGGAGGATAACTGGGAAGTTGTGGGGTCTGGAAACTAAGTTGGTGAAGAACCATTTACTCATTCATTTGTTCATTCACTCACTCACTCACTCATTTATTCGACATGTATCTCTCTTTTCTGCTGATGTACATGACTCTCCTCTATACAACTTTAGTTTTTTTTTATCAACTCTGTGAGATAGGTCAAACTAAAATGGACTGGCCTGAAGTCATCCAGTGAGTTTCATGTCTCAGTGGGAATTTGAACCTGGACCTCCTAGATGATAGACCAGTAATCTAACATTTACATTGCACTGATTTTCAGCTGAATTGTGCACATTTAGTTTAGAAAAGCTTAAGGTAGAGAGGGACAAGGTGACTATGTCCAGGTATTTCAAAAGCTTGGAAAGGCTTCTTCATGGTTGCTCCAGAAGGCATGCTGCCTAGAACTAAAGGACAGAATGTACAAGTTAACAGGAAATTGGAGTTCTCTACCTCAAGAACATGGAGGTATTTAAGTAGAGGCTGGATGTCCATTTCTCAGGGAAATGGTAGTTCTATCCCACACTGCAGATCCTGTATTAGGAGAATTGGACTAGATGATCTCTGAGGATGCTTCCAACCATAATTCTGTGACTGTCTTGTGCTGCTTTGGGTTAGTTGGCATCATCTCTTTGTTTCTCAGTTTAATGTTCCTCATAGGGTTACTGTGACACTCAAATGCTTGTTTTCTGGATGGAGAGGACATACAATGATAACAAAAGAGATAAAAACAATTTCTTGAAAGTAAAGAAAGTGAAGAGCCTCGTGGCGCAGTGGTTAAAACGCTGTACTGCAGCTAAAACTGTGCTCACGACCTGGGGTTCAAATCCCAGGTAGCCGGCTCAAGGTTGACTCAGCCTTCCATCCTTCCGAGGTCGGTAAAATGAGTACCCAGCTTGCTGGGGGGGCAATGTGTAGCCTTTATAATTAAAATTGTAAACCGCCCGGAGAGTGCTTGTAGCGCTATGGGGCGGTATATAAGTCCAATAAATAAATAAATAAATAAATAAATGGTTTGAGGACATGCAGTACCCTTTTCAACTAAATTACTTGCCTCCATTTTGTTCTAGTATTAGCACTGCTTGTACACTTAATTTGTTTTAATAGCTATACTATCTTCCATTCTCCTTCAGTGTATTGGCCTACATTAAATCTCAATTTGCTGGCGGATAACTCTTCCAATCATTCCAAAGCCTTTTCTCTAGTCTCTTGAGCCATTGTTCCTTTCAGAGTACAGCGATGTGTGAATCTGATAAAGAAGAGTTCGTACTGTGTCCCCAGGTTCTTAATGAAAATGGAAAGCCTGGTTCCTAAAATTAATTCCTCAGAGAAGAGGATCAGACTGTTCTTCACTTGGGAACTGTCCTGCTACCCATTATTCCTCATTTGTGACCTGTCAGCGAGTTTTTATGCTTGTTATATTTCTATGTGGGCCAACAATTTGAATATTCAAAAAAATGAAGGCCTGAAGTATACAGATGGTATTTAAGAGAGAGAGGTTTGTGAACTAACTGCAGCAGTCTGCACATTGACAAGGTTTATTGCAGTTTAACTACACAACAAAAAAACAATTAAGGTCAGACAGAATTCTAGAGGAATTTTGAGTATAAGAGTGGCCTATCTGTGACAACATTATCATTGTCCTTGAATTTGAGAACCAAAAAATGGAGTGAACAGAATGAGAGCCTGGATGGGATAATAGTTAGGGTGCTGGAGTAGGACCCAGGAGACCTGGGTTCAAATCTCCACTCGGCACTGAAGCTCACTGGATGACCTTGGGCCAGTCACATTGCCTGATCCTGAGCTAGTTCACAGAGTTGTGCAGATTAAAGTAGAGAGGAAGAGATATCTGTATGCTACCTTGAGTTCATTGCAGACAAGGCAGGATATGTTGTGATGGTGGTTATGATTAACAACAATAATTGATTTGACATTCAGGAACAAAGAGAGCTAGAGTACATTTTGGTAAATAGATTCTGATCTGTAGTTCTACATTTCAGTTTTTTTAAAAAATGCAAATACTCACATTTTCAAATTACTAATTTTAGCAGCTTTGTTTTTTTTCTCCATTTTGCAATTTTCTCTAAGCTTTTATTCACCCATTGAAGAGGTGTTTGAGTTAGGCCAGTATTTTCAATAGGGGATTCAGAAGTAAACACTTGACAAGCCACCACACAGATTTTCCTTTTTACTTTGCACTAAGGTATGCATGGCCTTACCTCCAAGTATGAACTGTCATTACACCAACAGGTATTTCATATTCTTTACAACAATGTCAGATTTCTTGCTAAGGAGTTCTTAGAAACAATTCTTAATCCATGGCTACTGTTCCTGTTATTCTCTCTCCTCAGCATGCTTTCTCATTTCACCTTTTAAACATCAGCAGAGAGCTGATTTAATCTAACTTTTATTTGCAGGGTGGTTACCTAGTTGTTCTGCTTACATGTTGCTCACCTTGACTAACAGATTGAACTGTCTTTTTTCCCCCAACAGAAACATAACCTGGAATAATTTAGCGATCCCAGACACACATTGTTCAAAGGAGTCAGAAGAAGGTTACCAGTGTCCACCAGGATTTGCATGTTTAGACCTTGAAGAATTGGGCCTGAGCAGGCAAGAACTGGGCTACAGTGGCTTTAACGAGATAGGTTTGTCCATCTGATTAAAATATATTTTATTTGATATGCATTATCAAATATGTAGGAGGTGCTCTTAACAGACAGTTCATAAATATGCAGCAAAGGGATATTAATATGAATGTTGTTATCTTTTACAGATTTTATTTTATTGCTGAGGACTGTAGATTGACTGAAGGAAAGCACAGGGTTTCTGCACCTTTAATATGTGCTTAGAAGCAGAAGTGTCAGCAGATGTAGCTTAAGGCAAGCTGCATGTGCTGATATTTCCTCCTCTACACGACTATTAAAGGTACAGGAATCCTGTCCTCTTTTTTTCATCCCACTATCCCATTAGTAGTAGGCATCCTTCAGTCTCGAAAGATTATGGTAGCGTGCTCTGTATGGAGGACTTGGAACAGCGTCTAGTGTGGCTGAGGAGGCCAATTCGAGAGTTACAATCTCTTCCACACTGAAGACAAATCCAATCTGTCCCCTGTCCAGCTCCCTGGTTTTGCTGCTTTTGTGACTTCCTCTTTGCCTTGGCCTGCTGGACAAGGGTCTCTTCAAATTGGGAGAGGCCGTGATGTACCGCCTGCCTCCAGGACGTCATCGCAGCCGTCACAGATGGATACAGATTTTTAAATGTTATGTGCTGCCTGACCCTTTAACTATCCCATTAGGGTTACCGTATATGCAGTCCAACTGTGCTGTTTGTTTCCCAATATACTAAAGGGTCAAATGTTTTATGGCCGTAACTGTAACTTTTCCCTGATATTTTCTTCTTTGATGAAGGACAGCTATAGAGATTGCAATTGCTAACAGAGGTCTGGGATGAGCAAGACTTCCTAACTATTTTCTCTTCTAGCCTTTGTAATGACCTAAAATCATGTCCCCACCCTCCCATACTGCTTCCCCATTTTGAGAATAAGATGGATACAGATTTTTAAATGTTATGTGCTGCCTGACCCTTTAAATATAGAAGATCATGACTGATCAAACCAAAAGAAGATGTAGCCACTCTATTCAGATCTATTAGTTCAATACCACTTTGACCATAATTCATCTGTCCTGTGAAATCTGAAATTTAATACATCATGAGATGCCTGCAGTTCTCCATGAAAGAGTTCCAATGCATTCCTCTGAAATCTAGCTTTCTAGCAGAGAATTCTAAGAGCTTCTCTGCCACAGATCCCAAGAGCTTTGAAGGATGGAGACACAATAGTTATCACAGTGGTCAGCCAGATTCATGTGGAAAGCCCAGAAGGAGATGGGAGTGCAATAGCACCTTCTTGCTCACATTGGTATATACAAGCACCAAACTCATTGTGTTATTTTCATCCGCACGTATGTTAGTGTTTTTGAAATAGTCATTAAGACTGCATAAGTAGATATTTATGCGCATAATGAGGGACCCATGTAGTTAAAATATAGCTTCTCAGAACCATACTCTTGCCTTCTACAAATGAAAACTAAACAACTGAATGGTGTTATTAAGTACAGTATATGATTTTATTTGCATAGGCTTCAGGGTATTCAACAGTTGCCTGCAAAGACCAATAGGTCAAAAAGTACCCAACTGACAACACAGAGAGGGAAATAAATGTTATAGGTCAGGTGGGCATAATGACCGCGTAATTACATTTTTCACTGGAATTATATGTGTGATTGTCTGTTTAAGTTTAGCTAATGCATTTACAAATGAAAGTAACCATGACTCCATGGACTACATTCAGTAATTCAGAGTTCTGCCTTTTTTTTAAGGCAAGTCTCCTGATGTCTCTTAGTAAATAGTTAAAACAAGTTTAAATAGGTGTAGATCTGCTAGGTTTCTGATTTGGATTTCTCCCTCTAGAATCTCAGATACTGGCAGGTTATAACTCTTATCACCATACCATGAAAAAAATTTACCTGCTGCTTTTTTTAGATCAAATTGCACTTAAAAGTAAAAGAACAAGACACAACTCTCTCTTTTTTTTTGCTTGTTATGTGACAGCTGTTTACAGTAGCTCTTTTTGATGCCCTTCTGCTTATTGGGAAACTTATTTTTCTAATATCCATTTGAAGCATGGACTAGTAAAGAGAGTCTCCTAGGAAAGAAAGAAAACAGTCCCCTCTGTTGCTAGCAAATCTTGGAAATTGCCCTTCTGATTAGAATTCTTAGAATCAGTCAGCCAACAGGGCCCATGTACAGTAGTAACTCTTCCAAATTCTGGTTACATTAGAGAATAGGTGTCATTCTGTTATACAAATAAGCCATCTGGTAGTCTCCTGATGTTTTAGTCTGTCCCTATCACCCAGCATGACCTGTATGTAGAGATTATGGAAGTGCATTTTTCTTCACCAACACTCATCATAAACCTTGGGATTGTATAGACCAGTGATGGTGAACCTTTTTGAGCCCAAGTGCCCAAATGGCAACACAAAACCAAATTATTTATTTTGAAGTGCCAACACTGCAATTAAACCTGAATACTGAGGTTTTAGTGTAGAAAAAACTCACGTCATTTACACATTTTGTCTCGTTCTTTATTGATTTCTTCAACTGACAGCTCTTTTAGAAAAAAGCCAAGTGCAAAATGCTACACTGAATTAAATGCACCCTATTTATAAAGCTTATTAAGTACAGTGGTGCCTCGCTTGACGATTACCTCATTAGATGAGGAAATCGCTTGACGATGAAGTTTTTGTGATCGCTTTTGCAATCGCAAAACAACGTTTTAATAGGCAAAAATTGCTTAACGGTGATTGGTTCCCTGCTTCGGGAAACGATTTTTCGCTTAACGACGATCTTTACAGCTGATTGTCGGGTCTTCAAAATGGCTGCCCGCTGTGCAAAATGGCTCCCCGCTGTGTTTTAGGATGGATTCCTCGCTTCACAGGCACCGAAAGTGGCCGCCCTATGGAGGATCTTCGCTGGACGCTGAGGTATTTCGCCCATTGAAACGCTTTGAACCGGTTTTCAATGCATTTCAATGGGCTTTTTTGTTTTGCTTGGCGAGGATTTTGCTTAACAGCGATTTGAATGGAATGAATTATCCTCGTCAAGCGAGGGACCACTGTACATTGAAATCCTGAACCTGTTTCCTCCAAAGTATGCTACCCTCAGAAAAGCAGCTATATATAGGAGTGCAAATTTGTAAAATGTATACTTACTTTTTATACACAACATAAAGTGTATACACACATTTCACTTATTTGAAATGTAATGTTGGAAAAGAGATTTACAGGTATCATGACTTGTCAGAAAGATACGTAAAACAAATTAAGTGTGGACTCTTACTAGAAGCTAAAATAACCAAGCAAAGGGTATTGTACTACAGTGGCATCATGAGAAGACAAGCTCACTGGAAAAGGCAGCAATGCAGGAAAAAGTGCAGTGCAGTAGGAAAAGAGGAAGACTGCACATGAGATGGATTGACTCAATAAAGAAAGCCACAGTCTTTTGTTTGTAAGACCTTTTGTTTGGGGTTGCAGTCAAAGCAAGACCAGGAGTAGAGATACTGGGATTCAAATTTGGCGAATAAACTATGATACTTTCCCCTTCTTTGGGGATGAGAAACAGAGAAATGTGATTCCTACACACTTCAGAAATCTATTCCCAGGTGTATTGGTTGTCTTTTACTAGGTGTTTACTGCTAAATATTCCAGTTCTGCCTAGTTCAATTTAGAGTCTATACCACCCCATTAGTCCCAAGGCACTATTCTGGGCTCCTTGCAGACAATTACAAACCAGGACAAACAACCTATGGACACTAAAATGTAACAGAAACAGCAATGACAAATCAAAACGATAAAAGTCAATGGCACCAACAAATTTTCACAATAAAGAGGACCAGAGGTCTCCCTGAAGAGTAGTGTTTTTTAAAGCTCAACCCCCATCTCTGTTGTATGGTTTTCTTAGAAAAGCTACTTTTTTTTTCACTTCACCAGTTTGTTTTGCAGAGTATCCTGTGACTGGTCACATCTATCATGGCAGAGTTTCTCAGTGTTCCCAGTTTAGGAACCCTAGGGGGAAAAAAACAAGAGTCTGGGCACTTTGCTGAAGCCTCAGATGATCGGGATCTAACCAGTATCTTAATGAAGATCACCTAAGGAACCTGATAAATGGCATAACTGAATTCAATTAAAGATAGGTAGAGGCATTCTGAATGTTATACTTAATCAATGAATGGATTAAGTACTCATACTGTTACTTCTTCCTTTAAAAATCCAGAAAGATTAATGAATAATCATTAATTAAACCTATCTTCCTATAAACACCCTGGGAATAAGCACCATTAACTACAAGGGACTTACACTTGTATAAACATGGATAGCATTGCATTTTAGAAGTGTTACATCACAGGATTGCAGAGATCCATCCCATGACATATGAAGCTCTAATTATACATTTCTGATATATTTCTATAGTACTATAACTTTTCAAACCTTGACGTACTGCTGCCAAGTTTAAAGTTTCTTTCTTTCTTTCTTTAATATGCTACCCATCTAGCCAGGCTATTTTGGGTGGTTCACAACACAGTCAAACAAAAAACATAATTACAAGTATAAAATAAATTCAACACATAAAACATCATAAAATATAACGACAATTAAATAATCACATAATAAAATATTAGATATTTAAATATTTCAAATGGTGCAGAGGGCAGAAAAATCTTTTCATTAAAGACTTTTTTAAGACAAACATGTTTAGGCTTCTTTTTTTAATTT